CCAACACATTTCAGCACATTCAATCAAAGACGTTTCACGTTCACTTCTTCATTTCAAATCTCTAAACTGTTGCATGGTGGCAGAGACAGCATGAAGACACAAAACCTGTTTCTTTTTTAAGCTGTGAGACTTTGAGAGGCAGAAGAGGTGAAAGAGACAAAAGAGACAGAGGGAAAGAGGAAGGGGAGCGTGAGTCAGACTGTAAACACTTGGTCGGGGTGATGTTATCCAGCTGCCACGAAAACTGATCCGATGGCCTGCGAGTTCAGGCTGTCCGCCATGTCTCTCTCTCTCACACACACACACACACACACACACACACAAGATCAACACTACACACAGATACACAAACACACGAGCATGTACGCATAAACAAATAACACACTTACATACACATGGTAAATGGCAGAGGTTGAGGTTGGATGGCCGCCTTGTTCGTGTGTTTGGGGTAAGTGAAGTAGCGATAAGCCACGGGGTTACCGGATTAAGAAAATATTCAATCCTTCAGCACACACACACACACACACACACACACACACAAAGTGAAAAGCTACAGAGGCTTGAAATCAATCTTCCACACCTCTAACTGAAGCAGCCGGGAATCTCCCAACACACATGCACACACGCACACACTTACACCAGCTGAGGGAACAGTGTCCACCCTGCCTGCTGAGGCAGCATCTCACCTTAAACAATCCCACTTGTGCTTATTTCATTAGGGTCAAAGTGTTAATTACAAATGTCACTGAGTTAACTGTTGCCTCAGCAGGAACCTGTATACATGGACTGAAAAGAAAACACTAACAGACAGCCAAACACCGCTCCAGTTGGTTGAAAATTAAACAAATCCCAAATATGTTTCAATGGTTTCATGATTACAGTGGTCTGGCTTAATGTCAAAGGTTATAAAATGTTTTCTTCAAGTAGGGGCTACAGTAAAAATAAATATGTTAGGTATATAAGTAGCCTGCTGTAGTTGCAGAAAGTAGCAGAAAATCATCATGTAAGTACAACCAGGGTGGCCAACAATGTGCCATGGAGAGTTAACAGTGTGCAGGTTTTCAATCCAATCGATCATCTCGGCAGGTGAGGTCATTAATGAGTTGTTGCCCTCTACTTGAGACTTTGTTTGTATAGTAAAACCCTGCAAACTGCTGGCTCTCTGGGGCACATAGATAGCCACCACTGATGTATAGTATGATCATAATGTTTGCATACAGAGTTGGCTACTTACGCATAGCTGCAACATGAAGGGAACATGAAAGGAGTGTTGGATGAGTCGATCGACACTATTCTCATGTCTGTACAGTAAATATGAGGTTGGAGGAACTGTATTATATGGAGGATTTTACCTTTGGACAGAGCCAGGCTGTTTCACCTGTTTCTAGTCTTTATGCTAAGCTAACTGGCTGCTAGCTCTAGCTACACATCTAACGTACATGTTGGTGAAGATACTCAGGGTGCTTTCAGACCTAGAGTTGTCTTGCTTAGGTCCGAATCAGGAACTGATTTTGTTATAAAGTTGCATAATTGCCTAGAGTTGGTTCGTGTTCTCATGGTAGCATTTACAAGCGGACCAGATCAAATGTCTTGCACAAGGAAGCTGCTCTTGATTGGTCAGAATTTCCATTCAGGAAAAATCCAGGAAGTAAACAAAATGTTGAATAAGAGTACACTTGAAAGATAAATGCAACACTTTCTAATGTCACAATGGAGGGATGACTACACAGGTTGATTTAAGTGCTGGTCATTGTGTACTATATTGCTGTCATTGTTCACTTTAGTCAAACCATACAGTTTGAAAACGAGGCTCAGCTCCAACTAGAAAACAGTTTTGATGCATTAGATGTGCTGAATGCACATATTAAGGCAGTACAGGAGGAGGTGCACATTAATAATCCTCCAGGACTGTAACATGTTTAACTAAAACACTGCGTAATGCAACTGCAGCTGGTTCAGATCGAGGTTGGAACACGTTCTCACCACAAACCGATCACACCAGAGTTCATTTGCAACCAGACAGAGACCACCTCTTCAAGAAGGTCTCGGTCCGGTTGTTTTGGTGCACGTCCAAGTGTGATTTCTGTGTTCACACCTGCCCAAATCAACCACACTTTGGGGGCAAATGACCTTGAGTTTGATTGAACTGTAGCAAACAGGGCAGGTGTGAAAGCACCCTCAGTCATCCAGGTGTCTCACACTTTCACTGAGCAGCTGGTTCTGAGCCCTCTGCAGGGTCGTTGCAGCCCTGTGTCCCTTCAAGGTGGAACATAAGCGTAAGCTGTTTGGAATGATCCTGTGTTGCCTGCATCTCAAATTGAAACGCAGGTGCTTTCTGTAATCAGCCAACTTCCTATATGTTCTTTCGAATCCCCCCTTCAGTCAAAGAGCATTCTTCCCAAATTGTTTAGCAACATGTTGGTAAAGATTCTCAGTCATCCAGGTGATGTATGAAGATTACCTTACGTGCAGACATAGGAACAATGTCTCTCTTTTCATCTACAGGCCTTTACACACCAGTGTGACGAGTAATTCATATTAGCAGCAATACGAATTTGAAACAGTTGCAAAAGGTCCACCATTGTTGCAATGTTGCAACATAATGTCTATTCTGTACAATATGACTGGGTAATGCCTTTATTCATGGTGAAAAGCTCAGAAAAATCAACCTTGTTCAGAATAACATTTCCTTCAAAAACAACTTTCTGTCACCTCCAACTCTGTCTGTCACTTATTCTGTATTACTGAAGCTTCTCAACACAGTTCATGAGCACAAAATACTAAGGATCACAGGTGTCTGTATGCGATGTCAGTTAACAGGCAGCATTATTGATTTGAGATCAAATCACTGTTATATTTGTGCTGTTGTCTGACAACAGAAAAGTACAAAATGTCAGTGACATCTGAACAGTGTTGGCATTAACATAACAAAGTGAGTACAGAGAGGTTGTTTTTTGGACAGTCACACTAGATTCAGATTTTATAAAGCTGTTTTCCCCAGAGGTTAACCTGCTGAGACAAAGTGTCCTCATCTGTCAAATCACATATGTATTGAACTTTACTCCCTACCAGAGGATGGAGGTGATGCACAATTGTGAAAGACTAAGAGATTTGACTGAATTTCTATTTTTGTGGCACTTTGGCTTAAACAGCAAGCTTTTGGAACATGATCTGAAAACGCTCTCAGTATTGCAGCTCCTCTCTGTGTTATTCAGCCTCTCCCCGTTGCCCCTCTCCCCCTCTGAGAGAGAGATAAAGAGCATTAAATGAGAGAGGAAAAAGAGGGAAGGAATGTGGCGCCATCACTATGTATGTTAGAAAAAAAACATACTTTTCCTTCAACAAGCTCTGATGTTCTTGACGCTGGGTTGTCATCCCACTCCGCCCACCTCAGCACATCAGAGCCCAACACCCAACGCCACCGCAGTGGGCTAATTAGTAGAGTACTGTGGCTGCCGGTCCGATGAGGCCCTGTGTTTCATCAGGCTCTCATTTGCTCCTAAACCCCATTAACCTTATGGACAGACTGGTGCTTTGATATCTCAGCTGTTTACAGCTCCCCTCTGCTTTCTAAAAGCGTTATGTTTCAGGTGCTTGGCTGACGGCATGGACTAAATATAGGCACTATGTAAGATTTCCCTGGAAAGGGACACACTCTAGGGGCAGGGGGTCTGGTCTGTGTGTGTGTGTGTGTGTGTGTGTATGCGTGTGTGTGTGTGTGTCTCTTCTTGTATTTCCAGACTTATGAGGACCAAATGTACTCAATGTAGAAAACCCTCTCAAATGAGACGCTCACTTTTATATGCAGCTCATTTACAGATAGGATTTTGGTAAAGGATTACAACTATAATTAAACTGTCAGTAAAACATGGTTAAGAGATAATTTAGGTATGTAGTCGTTACGACTAAAATTACTGTGTTAAGCCTGTGCAAAAACATACTGACAGGTTAACATGACATAGAACAAGTTATGCACCCATCCTCTGCAAAGACTGCACTTTGTCCATTTTAGTTCAAGCACCTAGCTGCCAGTGAAAAGCTTAAAGATTTGTTCCTTATTGTACAACCACTTGAACTGAACCAATCATCCACTCCGCATCCGCGTCCAAAAGTGGGTCGGTGGTCCATTCTGAATGGATCACAAGTGACTCTCGGATGTATCAAGTTTGTAAAAAACAAACAAAAAAAAAAAAAACAGTATTTTAGGATACAGTCAATTTCTGGCACAAAGCTTTTATTTTGAAGGGAAGTTTTCTGCTGCGAGTGAATGACAGACAGCTACTTTAAAGAGACGGGAAACTAGCTCAATGACGAAGTATTTTCAATATATATTTAGCTTAAAAAATAAAAAAAAATATATGTCCTGAATAAGTTAGGAGACAAGTCACCAGAGTCACAGGCTAAAGTTTCCGCCCATCCGCCAGCGTGACCCCTCCACTATTTCTACAGTGTGTAAAACCAGTGATTGAGTCATGCCTCCCCTGCAGATATCAGTACTGCACGACTTTCCATATAACTATAAATACAAATTTGTGATGACAGATATGACATAGCTGTATGTTTAGGGTTTGGTTTACAGAACAGGATCATTTGAGCTGAATGTGTGTGTGTGTGTGTGTGTGTGTGGGTGTGTGTATGTGCTGTTGTACATCTATTATTGTGAGGACAGTTTTGAGTTTTAGCCTGAGGACATTTTGGATGGTCCTCTGCTCTTCAAAGGGCCGCTGAAGGGTTAAGACCTGATTATAGGGCTACAATTATGGCTTAGTTTGCAGTTAAGCATTTAGTTGTGCTGGTTAAAGGTCAAGTTGAGTATTATATGGGGTTTATTGGGTTCTTTGTCTTTTATATTTCCTTTTTTTACCCAGTACTCTAAGGAATGCATTATGTCATAGAGGATCCTCACAAGAACAGAAGTACAAGCATGGTGTGTGTGTGTGTGTGTGTGTGTGTGTGTGTGTGTGTGTGTGTTTCTGGGTCTGGTTAAGTGTGAGTTTTACCTGTGCCTTTGTTGCGGTCCACAAAGCAGTACTTCAGTTCATATTCTTTCAGAATCTCATGGACTTCCTGCAAAGAGACAGAAAGAGAGAAACACACAAGGCTTGAGCCAAGAGATCATCCAAGTGCCAGAATAACCAAATGTTCAAAAGCTTGTCTAAACCAAGGCAGTAATTTTAATATATCCTGGGGAAGAGAGGGGGGGACACATCCCTCCCAATATTCAACTACGCTAAAAATGTCACACTGCTGTCCAAATGTTATCATAATCATAAATAAATTTCACAAATGGCCATTATTATACTGGTTTTAATACTACAGTGTGCTGCAGTTCTGTGTGGTTTGTCTGAGTGGTGTTGACGGACCCCAGCCAAACGCAGCTCAGGGGCATACACAACTGACATTAATGTCTTTATTTGGCAGACAGCCTTCATCAAGTCTGAGTGAAGTGTCAATCATTTATGTTGCACTGCATGTGCACTGCTGTAGATACTTGCAGCTTCCATTTATTGCATATTTGTACATTGAAAACTTCAGTTAGTAGCCTGGGATATTATTTGCTTCAATCACGGAACTCAACAGGCCTATATTAGGGACAGGCCTTTGATTCCTTTCATACAAAACTGTTGCCCAGCAAAGATGGGAAATACTATCAAATAAACTATTTAGTTGAACCAGTATGAATATAACTTGTTAGTTGTGATTCTGTCAGAGATTCTACTGTCATTCAAATAAGGCTTAGAATATCATAAATTGCTATTCAAGTATTTTTTTGATTGGTGGACCCTTACGGACCAAAGAAATATAAATAACTTTCTGTGTAATTGAAGAATGAACTCATACTCTGACTTTATGACAGCTTCAGAGGCAGGGAGACACCACTTGTTTTTCGTCACGCCGGTAATACTGAATGACTTGCAGTCTTCTCTGGTGCTCATGGTTTCAGTAAAATGAACTGAACCGAGCTAACGATGTATAGCATCTCCATATTGACAAAAGCTAACTAATGGTAGCTCAAGTCGGCAGTCAACAATCCAGTTTATACACCCAAACTTCTATGAAAATAAAAAAAAATGCTTGGCAACCAGACCAGGCTTCTATTTGAGACAGGCCTTTATTTGTCAAAATGGGCAGCTACACCAGGCTAGCAAAAGGAACTGTGTGTTTAATTGGGACTAGGCTTTTAATTAAAGTTTTACGGTAGGCTATATTTAATATAGCTGTACTTGATTGGGATAAATAATAGAGCAGGAAATGAGTTTTCAAATTTTTATTTTTTTTCAGAGGGAACACACCCCTGTGTTTGTTGATTGGTGTTTTCTGAAGCCCAAATTGATGCTTTCATGTCTTATTTTGTCAACGACCCAAAGATGTTCAGTTTACTGTCACGGAGGTGTAAATGGACCAGAAAATACTCACATTTAAGAAGATGGAATGAGAGAATTTTTGCTTTTTTCTTTAAAAAAAAAAAAAAAAATCGCTTAAACTAACTATCAAAGCAGCTGTGATTATCAATTAATTCAATAGTTGACAAATGATCATTTAATGTTCCAGCTCTACGGACAAAATGCATCACTTTTACAGAAAATGTGTGATTAACCATGGTCAGCGGATACATTACTGTAGTAACTGTCGGGAGGTAAGTCAGACTATGTCGTGGCAGTACTACTCTAACAGCAAGACAGTTATTCTTAACTAACCAACTGCCTTCAGTAATAATCTCAGTACTCAGATATCCACTATGACACCTTGAGTTTAAGTAAACCCTGTAAAAATTAATTTTTGCTTATCACACTGATGAAATCTTATTTTTTGACACTTGAAACTCTTTGATCGAAGACTTCCCCAATTGCAGTAATTTGTCTCTAACGGGTAATTATGCTTTTTTTTTTTTTTAAAGTGCATTTTTAAGATGAAAAGCTTTGCGTCTCCTGTCAGGCTCATAATCACAGCAGCCCACACCACTGCACTTCAATCCACATGAGGGACACACACAGCTGCATATCAAAGTAATAAATGTGGGAATTATTTTTAAAGCAAAGTGTGGTCCACTCTCCTGAAGCATTGTTTCATATTGTCTCTTCAGTGACAGTAAGGGATGAAGCGAGAGTAATGCAATAGCTCAGAAAGAGATCCTCACACCCTGTCTAAGTGTGTTATGAGCTCAACTGCTAACTCTGTTAGCCTCCGTACCTTCCTGATGGGTTTCCCTGTTACATAGCCACACGGAGTCTCTGCTGCACACAACTAACTGACAGCACAAAATGTTCAGAGCTTGGCAACAAGTGTGATATGAGCAACCTCGTGGATCCAGTCACAGTCAAAACCTGTCCAACAGTTCCAGATCCCACAGGAGCACAGTGTAGGCGCAAGGACTGAGCGGTGAGCAACAAAACAAAACATAACGAGAATAAATCAACAACCGCAGCGCTAAAACAACCTGCGAGCAACCGACTAAACTCTGTGGCACTGAAAGGTCACTTCAGCATAAAGCAATTATTGTTAAGTGCCACCGGAGACAAGATGTAATGGCCAGTCTACAGCAGTATGGTGCGCATCCAGCAGGACTTTCAAGCTGTTTCATCCTCCGATGCAGACACACTGTGTTCACTGTGACCATGTCTGAATGATGTGGAGACATTCTCTCCTTCCTTACGTTGACTCTTCCACTTAGCCCCACTCTATCTCACATTATGTTCCTGTACGATTTGATTAAAACTTTTGAAAATGTGACTTGTGTGCATTTTCTAAGAGCTGGTTTAAAGCAAATAAAAAGGGTTTAAAATGGCCTGAATGTGAACAAAAAGTAGAAGCGGTATTTCAAGAACCAGTGATGCTGTTCTGTAATGTCAGTTAATGTTGCCCAAATCCTGTGCTTTTATTCACTGTGAGCTAATGCTGGCCATGTTTTATTTTTCCATTCAAATTATTGTAAAGCACCAACCTGTGGTGACACAGTTATCACCTTGAAAACGAGAGTGAAAGCGGGTTTGACATTCCCTGGTGGTCGTGTGAACAGAAAATATTTCCAATCCCATTTATCATTATATAAAGACAAGACGAACAAAAACGTGGTCACACAACGACTGAAATGATGAGGTTTTCTAATGTGTACATTTTTCTCTTTTCCCCATCTCTCTAACCACCACCCAGCCCACTCATGTACACAGCAAGCAGGCATGTTCCATATCAGTGAAGGCCACGCAAGGCAGCCCACGCAGAGGGTCAAACTCGCTCGCCCTTAAAATCAGAGCAGTGCGAGCTGCAATCGCTGAGAGGGACAGAGAAAGGCAGAGAAAGACAGAGAAGGAAAAGCGGTGTTTTGGATTTTTTGCCCCATATCAACGATCGTGCTATGAGAGAGGAAGAATTCGTCTGAGGGGAGAATGAATAGAAACCACCTGAAACCAAACAGTGCAAAATAAACTTATTTTACAACATTTTGTGTTTGTAACTGAGTCTTTACTTTATTCTCTTAAAAACTGGTGAACATTTCAACCAATATTCAAGAGAAATCTATTTTTTATCATTATTATTATTTATTTTTTAACGAAATAATGCAGCATAATGTTAAAAAAAATGCTTAAAACAAGGTGAGTGACTTTAAAAACATGCTACAATTGCCATGTTTATCACCTGTTTAAAGAAAATTTCAAAGGACTCAATTACGGTCAAAAATAACAGAAAACATAATTGAATTTTTTTTTTTTACCAAGCGAACAAAGTTTTAGTATTTTTCCCCACATTACAAGGCCAACACACACATTATAATACATCCCTGCAGACAATTTAACAACAAGGCAAATACAATAAGAATAAAATAGGATTAAACTATTTAGATCAAAGCATGCCTGTAACTAATGTGTGAGGATTTAAGCAAAGTGCTTTAAACTGTTATTGCCAACCAAAGCTTGCTTTCTTCTTTTATATCAGCTTATCCCGCTGCTTCAGTGCTTCCATGTTTCTATTCTCTCAATGCACTGGGCTCTACTGTAGCTAATTTCTTGGTTTTTTTTTTAACCCCCTCACGGTCTCTTTCTTTCTACAGCCATGATGCATGTTAATAGGTAAAGCTGAGCTCTTGTATTAAGTAGAGTTTTGACATAAAAAGGTAACAGACAAGGGATACACTGATTCATCGGCCACACAGAGGAATCAGCCAATATTCACCTTGCTGACTGTCATCGGCCTATTAACATAAGATGATGTTCATCGATGGCAGTGGCTGATGTTTTCTGTTGTGTCACATCTAATTTGCAAAGGGTAAAATGGAGGGCCATAAACTACTGGCTTCCTATTTACCCGAGGACAACAGAAAACTTATTTGGGACGAACAGGGATTTTCCCAGGGATGCCGTCGGGATAAAAGGATCCTCACTATTGATGCATCAGAGGATGCACCCTGTTTTTTCCCTGATAATAAACATAGTAAACAACAAATCTGTGTTGATGTCGGCAGAGGGACGGCTAGTTAGCATTAGCTGTTAGCAGCCGGTGGCCGGAACTAACAGCTGACAGAAGCCCCTTTTACACTGCCAGATTTTCCGCGAATGTTGGGCCGGGATGTTTAGCTGGCAATCTGCGAGCGTTTAGACACACAGAGCCGGATTGGCGAGTTCATCCGAGGTGCCCAATTTTCCGCCTCGTAGGGTAGTCATATTGGCAGAACCCTTTAGTTTAAACAGACTGAGGCGGCCTTCCGCCACGGGAGGGGCTATTGAAGACTTGTGGGAGGAGCTGTTGATGACGCCGCCCATGCGACCCACTGGCGGTAAATAAACAGGAAACAGCTGATAGCAGGAATTAGCGAGCAGCTAGTAGCAAGAGGGAAACGCAAACCTGACAGACACTGTAAAGTTGAGCAACTGGGGAGACAAGGAATTGCGCGTCCTCCTTGTCCTCGCATACGAAGAGGCCATTAACCGTCAGATGACGGGGACGGTGAAGAATGGGCCGATTTACGAGAGAATCGCCGAAGGACTGACCAGCCGCAGCTTCCCTCCCACGTCATTGTTTATGTCACACACTGAGCTACATGTTTTGTTTCTTGCTCACGCCCCCCGTTGGCC